GGGGGGAGGTGGAGGATCACCTGCAACCCGAGCCAATGATCATGCTGCCCCCTATTGGCAGGAAACGCCTTTGTCATTATCAGAGTCTGGCAGCCTTTCTTCTTGGTGCCCAGACCCTCCTGCCGTCTCCCAGGAGATCAGGGGAGTTTCAAAATGAGGACATGCTGATGGGAGGTGGGGGTGGGGGGATGGGGGGGGGTGCGAGTCCAGTAATGAGTCTACATTAGCCCCTCCCCCCGTGTCGTTAGTCTGTCACACACCCCCACATCTCCGATATCCTACCCGACCGCTTAACGTAGCCACCGACGTGAGTAATTACATTAATTTATGTTTGGCTGTGTGTGTAATCTACCTTGCAAATGCCCATATCCATGACAGCTAACGAAGTGGGGGTCACAGCTTACCCGAAAACGAATTCAGGGACAAAAAGCAGTGATTTGAGGGGCTGAGGGGGTGTCCGTTTGAAGGCAGTGGTGGGCATTATCCCCCCCCAAAAAGCTGTGTCCGTGTTCCCGTCACTAAATTGGCTGTTAAAATGAAATCTAATCGAGTCTAATAATTCTGAATGAATGGGGCAGGTATGAGTGTTTCTGGGTTTATCGAGGCTTTTACATGTCCCACTGTCGTCATGCTCAGTGTAATAAGGGAAGAAATTAAGACTACCTGGGTTTTGGGCAGTTTCGGTGTGTGGTCAGGTGCCGAGATCATCGGTTCATGCCACCCGTTCCCACACCCAGCTGGAGCCCCCACTGGGCTCAGTGCCTCCCCCCTCCCTGGTTTGTGACACCTGTCCCTGCTCCTGCGGAGCCCCTGTGTCCCTCGAGCGCGTCTCACAGGAAGGTGTGTGACCACCCGTGTCGTTCTGTTTTTTTTTTTTTAATGTCCTGGTTCTTTCCACCTCTTCATAACTCGCCCGCGTAGTTGGTCCCCTGTCCGCAGTGAGCCTGGCAATCCTTCAGCCCCCCCACCCCCTCCGGCGGCACTCCTCCTCATTAATCGCCGTGAAACATGCCCCACATCGGCAATATAATTGATCGATATCGGTGCCGGCCGTGCGTGTTGAGCAGAGCTACGCTGTGCTCCTTCACGGTTGACCTTCACTCCACCATGCCGCTGGCCTGCAGTATGACCCTCGATGACCCACCTACCCACGGAGACCCAATCAGACCTGCCCCGCGAATACCCCATCACACGGACGTATGGCTGTATTCTCTCACCCCATGACCTCCTTTGGGTCTCGTACGGGCTCCCTCCTGGCCTCCTCTGGGCCTCCTCCTGACCGTGTCCGGTCCTCCCATGGGCCTTCTCTGGGATTCCTCCAAGCCTCCACCATGCCTCCTCTAAACCTTCTCTGTTTCTCCTCTATACCTCCTCTGTTTCTCCTCCGTGCCTCCTCTATTGCTCCTGTGGGCCTCCTCCGTGCCTCCTCTGGGCCAACCTCCTCAGTCTTTTGCTGTTATGCTGGTAAATGAGTGTGGTTATTAGTGCCTCCTGGGTAGGAGCCTCAAGATAAATATCATGACTTAATTAATAGTATTTGCCGTGCTGGGGGGGGGCAGGGGAGCACAGCACAGTGCAGTGTGTGTGCATGTGTGTGTCCGTAGAGTGGGCTGCCATGTTGCCTGCCCCTCTGTCTTTGAATAACAGCATTACCGCAGACCGGAGACCCTTTTTCAGCCCCTATTATCCTCACTCACTTTCCAAACGTAACAAATGTGTGAAGCTTGTGAAGTCTCCGTGTGTAAAGCTGTCTGCGTGGTTACCCTGCGGCGTACTGGGGGCCATAGGCGGGTGGGGGGTTGCCAGGGTGGAGAGCCGCACGCCGCCGACTGAGCCTGCCGCTTTGCTTCTGTCTCCCCAGGATAACTACACCTTCGCCCAACCTGGCATCCAGCGCAAAGTCAAGGCTTTGGAAGAGCTTGTCAGCCGCATTGACGGTGAGTGGGAACGCTGAGACCTCGCTGTGGGGGGGGGGGGGGGGGAGGTGAGAGGGCTCTGCTGTCAGATTGTTACCACGGCGCCCTGACCGGCCAGCGCTCGTATGCGGTGACGTAGCCCCGCCCGCCTTTCCAGGCTCCCCCCGGATTCCTTCACCTGAAAGCGCGTTTTATGGATGGGAGGTTCGGAAATGCAGAATGGGCGAATAGCGGAGGACACGCCGCGAAGTCTGTCTGGGGAACAGAGATCAGCTAGCAGCCCGTGGACGGCAAATAGGCTCAAAATCCTCACTCTTACTGCAAATTAGAGGAACAGAGAATTTTCCCGTTATCCCGATCTTTCTTTCTGTAGTTGTTAAATGCTCTGACTTGGGATTAAAGGCGTTGGCCTTTTTTCTGTCATTTACTGAGTCATGTGACTTCTCTGGCCCACGGAGTGCCTCGTTTGCTTTATGCCAGTAATGCACCCATCTCACAGAACCGGGCGGATGAGCTGCATGGCGTCCTGCTGTCTGCCGAACCCTAACCTAACTCTAACCCTAACCTAACCTAACTCTATCCCTAGCCTAACCTAACTCTAACCCTAACCTAACCTAACTCTATCCCTAGCCTAACCTAACTCTAACCCTAACCTAACCATCACCCTCTCCTGGCCTCTCAAAGGCTATATGATCTATATATGTGCAGTCAGTATGTTGTTGCCCATGTTTCACATCTTTTGTTATATGACCGGGTAGCGTCTGGCTCAGTGGGTTATGCCTATGATCAGAATATTGGCGGTTTGAATCCCATCCTCAACCAAATAGCCATGTCTCCATGGGGCTGGACAGTGCCCCGGAGGTGCCGTACCCGAAGCGTCACTCTCCCCTCTATATGTAGGTGTGTCGTAAAGGAGAGCATGATGGGATATGCGAAGATGCTTTCTGCAGACATTAAAGGATTGAGTTCCTGTTTGTCGGGTCTTGATTGAAAGATGTCATTTGATCTAATGCCACACACTCGAATCCAGTTAACATCACGAACGCTGCCCTTCCTTTTCACCGCTGTTCTGGTTCCAGTCAACTAGGGGGCGCCGATGGGTCTCATACTGTAGTTGTCACAGCGAGTCGTCGCCCTGGTGGTCCAACCCGATGTCCTGCCCCTCACTGACTTTATATAGTGCCTTCCCTTCCCAGCTCGGTCTGCTGTCCGCTTTCGGAGCTGTGGATCCAAAGATAGCCTCCAGCGGACTTGGGGGGGGGGGGCTGTATCATCCAGAATCTTTTCTTCGGAAACACAAGAGAAATGGTGGCTGAGCTGTGATGGTTAATGAAGGGAATCGGGGATCTATGTGGAATGCTGACGGGGGCGTGTAGAGGGCGCTGGTCGAGTGCCGCCCCCCACATCCCCCTTTCCTCTGCTTCGGGATCGTTCTGCTTAAGCCTCTTTGTAGAGCCAGCATCTGCGTGGGTCAGCGTTCGTCCTTGGAGTTTCAGGTCCCCCCCCCACACCTACAATGCCGCGAGGTCGGCACATTTTTATACCTCCGGCCATCGCAGTCGGGCTGGGCCTCCCTCAGAAACCACGGCACAAAAGCAAATGGGGACGGGGGTTATTTTTAAGCCGCTTGAGAGACACGTTCTCTGGTGCTGAGAGCGGATCTGAGCACCAAATCGCGTCGCTTTTATTTAAAAATTGCCTTCTTTTAACAATGTACAATGTCAGACTTAATCAGGCATTAGCCGGCACGAGATCGGCTCTGTAATTTACATCCTCGGCTATAATGGAATGTATAATACATCAATCGTATCTCTCCACAGCCATCGGCCTTTTGGAATGTTGTGTCGATGGTATTTTCCGGGCTCCTGCTTGCTCGCTTACACCCGGAGCAATGCCCCTCAACAGCGTGCATCCATGATCTGCTGTGCACCTGCCATGTGAGCAGTTTCAGCCTGATCTCTTGGCGTTACCTGTCCTGGAGCCCAAGCCATATGCATCCTCACCGCTGCTCGTCCTTATTCAGCAGTGAGCTACGGTTCCCCTGTGTTCCCACCTCTGAAGTGCGGTTCCCCTGTGTTCCCACCTCTGAAGTGCGGTTCCTGTGTGTTACCATTTCTGAGGTATGTGCTGCTAGTCAGAGGTATGGTTCCCATGTGTTCCTACATCCGAGGTACGGTTCCCCTGCGTTCTCACCTCTGAGATCTGGTTCCAATGTGTTCCTATTCAGAGGTACGGTTCCCATGTGTTCCTACCTCCAAGGGGCGGTTCCCTTGCGTTCTCACCTCCGAGATCCAGTTCCCGTGTGATCCCATTTCTGAGGTTTGGTTCACATGTGTTCCTACCTCTGCCATCATCATTCTATTAATTTAATTTAATTTCCATCTCTGTCACCATCATACAAACAGCGCTGCTGCTCACACTGTATACGTCCGTAACTTCCTGTCACTGTGACTGTGTCTGTTATGTAACGACAGAGGGCAGCTTTATTTTTAGCTTTATTCAAAAACAAACAAATCGATCCCTCCCAGTGGTGTCTGGTCTCCCTACGGATCGTCTGCTTACCCATGGCTTTGTCACCCCTTCTCATCAACAACTTTTACCCTCGCCTAGGGCTGGGTAGTATATCGAATTTTCACAGTATAGCTACATATGTTCCAACTGAGATATAGGATGACACGGTGCCGTTTATATTGATATACCTTTTATTGTGTGTTTAAATTAGGGTTAAAAGATTTTTAAACCAATAGTATTCCTTTCTGGTTGTAAACAATGCCAGAGCTTCTTTTGTGATGTTACACAGAATCCACTGCTAAAGTCAAAGCTCTCGGTCTCATGAGGTAGTTGATGGAGACAAAGAATAATTGATACTTGTTTCGTTTCATTTTTAAACACTGCCGAATGGCGCACAGGTCATTGTACTTTGTAATTTGTTTTGTTTTGTTGCAGGGACCGGTTTGCATTTCCAGTTGTAAAACACTGCCTTTCATTTTGCCAAATATGTTTAATAGACAGTTTCTAAAGTGAATGTTTAAAAAAGACTGGATGTAAACTAGTTCATTTGAAAGACTATAATGAAGTTTTCACTTTATCTATAAACTTATGCATTATAAGTATATACAAAGGCTATTAAGAGCTAAACAAAGGCCTGAATAGAACTGCTTGCTCTCTCATTTAAGTGCGATTCTCTTTGCATAGCGATGGCTGTACAGTTCTCTTTGTAACAGCAGTTATTTACTTATTACTATTTTTTTACTTATTACATTTACGTTGGTGTAAAGTGATGATTATGTATTTAATCAGGCCCCATCGCACATTAAAAACAGAAACTTTATGCATTAATTGCTATTTTTGAAAAGTGCCCCCATTTAAGACAGTAGGGGCAAGAGTTGCCCCCTAATTTTTTTTTTATGTTTCTGCTTGATTTCAGCTGCTGGATTTCTGCTCGGGTTCCTGGGCTCTCTGTCGTGTCGTTTGGGTTCTGACTCGCTGCTTGTGTTTGAGTGAATTGAGGCCTCTGTGCACTTCTTGCCTCTCCGTTCTGCCACTCTAAGTGACCCGCCCGTCACCTTCCTCCACGTCTGGGTGGCGCTGACAGGCTAGATTAATAGGAAGGTCAGGGGTGTCCTTGTCTTCGTGTCATGTCACGCTTTAGATTAATATTGAGTTGAGAGGTCCGTAATCCCTCGAAGTGCCAGATTACTATCGGAAAGGTTGTGCTGTAATTCCAGGTGACGGGTGAGATTAATATCGGGGCGAGAGGGTGAGCCGTTCCTTGGCGATGGCCGTCACACGAGGGCTGGAGAGGAGCTCTCATTGCTCCATGAGTGACTGCAGCTTGGCTTCTGGGAGCAATGATGTCTCAGCAGGCACTTGTGAGCAGTGACATTTGCTATATGTCATTTTCACCAATCGCAGCCTATGTATCTGCACCAAATCGTGGTGTTCACCTTCCCCCGCCATCGTTTTCATATGTTGACTGCATAGTGTACACGATTTCATGGAACTATTTCCAGATGGGTCTGATCGTAGCCCATCAGCCTGTAGAGTGTGAGTGCAGTGAAGGGGACCCAGTGCCTGAATGATCAATGCTGCGATATTCTGTAATAAATAGTTTGTCATTGGTAATAAACATGCAGCAACGGCAGCCACACTGCCCTGAGCTGTGAGCAGCGTCTGCTCGAGAGGAGATGGGACGCGACGGTGCTGCCCTGTAGCCACCAGCCGGTTAACGTGCGTCTGTGTGGCCACCTTGCACTCCTCTGCGGGAGTTTCACGGAGATGAGATGGCGCATTTTTGCGTGTTTGTCCGTAAGTGCTGTGGTTGCCGTTGCGCCTGAGGCTGACCCCAGAAGCTTTGCTCACTGGCCTGCAGATGAGCTGGCTGATTCTCTGGCAGTTAATAATGCCTAACCGTGGATGGAACTTTCCAGCGTGTGGGGGGGTGGGGGAGACAGGGCAAGCCAGCTGGGCCACCCCTTCCTATTTGTACACGCCTGGGGTCTGTGCCCACGGCGCCTGCCGGGTGCCCGGATTTGTGGCCGCCCGCTGTCTTCCCCTGCATGTTAAGTGGCCCCCCCTCCTTCCTCACTCTGTCCCTCCCTCACTCCCTGTTTGCTCCTGGCTCAGGGCCGCTTCTGATCGCCGTCGGGTGGAGTTAAGATAACAGTAGCCCCGCCCATCGCATTACATTTAAATGGTGTGTAATTACCCATCATGCTCAGCTTGTTGGCTCCTGTATCCGTTGACATTTGCAGCTGTAGGGATTTGGCTTTGAAGAGAAATGTATGGGTGGGGTGGGGGTGGGGGGGGCTTAGATTGGGCTGCTGGGAAGTGTCCCCCCCAGCTGGTCCATGTCACGCGGCTTTAATAAAGCCGTCATCGACATGTCCCCTGTTCCTCCCTGCAGTGCGGTGCTGTTTCAGGCTGCCCCCACCCCCCCACCCCCCGCGAGTGCCTGTGATTAAAATGTCAGGCAGTAAGCGAGCTCACGGCCAGGCGGGCCGTGATGAACGGGTCCGCTC